TAACATCTACATCACATACCCAGGGTCTACCTACAATAGTCACCGAGGTTAACATCTACATCACATACCCAGGGTCAACATCTACATCACAAACCCAGGGTCAACATCTACATCATAATACCCAGGGTCTACCTACATCAGTCACCGAGGTTAACATCTACATCACATACCCAGAGTCTACCTACATCTGTCACCGAGGTTAACATTTACATCACATACCCAGGGTCTACCTACATCTGTCATCGAGGTTAACATCTACATCACGTACCCAGGGTCTATCTACAATAGTCACCGAGGTTAACATCTACATCACATACCCAGGGTCAACATCTACATCACATACCCAGGGTCTACTAACATTAGTCACCGAGGTCAACATCTATACACATACCCAGGGTCTACCTACATCTGTCACCGAGGTTAACATCTACATCACATACCCAGGGTCTACCTACAATAGTCACCGAGGTTAACATCTACATCACATACACAGGATCAACATCTACATCACATACCCAGGGTCTATCTACATTAGTCACCGAGGTTAACATCTACATCACATACCCAGGGTCATACATCACATACATAGTCACCGACCTACATCACATACCCAGGGTCATCATATCTACATCACATACCCAGGGTCAACATCTACATCACATACCCAGGGTCTATCTACAATAGTCACCGAGGTTAACATCTACATCACATACTCTGGGTCTACCTACATCAGTTACCGAGGTCAATATCTACATCACATACCCAGGGTCAACATCTACATCACATACCCAGGGTCTACCTACATCAGTCACCGAGGTTAACATCTACATCACATACCCAGGGTCTACCTACACCAGTCACCGAGGTCAACATCTACATCACATACCCAGGGTCTACATCAGTAACATCTATCAGGTCTACATCTACATACTCACATACCAGTCACCGAGGTCAACATCTACATCACATACCCAGGGTCTACATCTACATCACATACCCAGGTCTACATCTACATCACATCACCCAGGTCTAACATCTACATCACATACCCAGGGTCTAACATCTACATCAAATACCCAGGGTCAACATCTACATCACATACCCAGGGTCTATCTACATCAGTCACCGATGTTAACATCTACATCAAATACTCTGGGTCTAAATACATCTGTCACCGAGGTCAACATCTACATCACATACCCAGAGTCTACTTACATTAGTTACCGAGGTTAACATCTACATCACATACCCAGGGTCAACATCTACATCACATACCCAGGGTCAACATCCACATAACATTCCCAGGGTCTACCTACACCACTCATCGAGGTTAACATCTACATCACATACCCAGGGTCTACCTACAATAGTCACCGAGGTTAACATCTACATCACATACCCAGGGTCAACATCTACAGGGTCTACCTACATCTGTCACCGAGGTTAACATCTACATCACATACCCAGGGTCTACCTATCACCGAGGTTACATCTACATCACCCAGGGTCTACCTACATCAGGTCACCACATACCCAGGGTCAACATCTACATCACATACCCAGGGTCTACCTACAATAGTCACTGAGGTTAACATCTACATCACATACACAGGATCAAAATCTACATCACATACAAAGGGTCTATCTACATAAGTCAACGAGGTCAAAATCTACATCACATACCCAGGGTCTAAATACATCTGTCACCGAGGTTAACATCTACATCACATAACCAGGGTCTACCTACAATAGTCACCGAGGTTAACATCTACATCACATAACCAGGGTCTACCTACAGCACTCACCGAGGTCAACATCTACATCACATACCCAGGGTCTACATCTAAATCACATACCCAGGGTCTACTAACATTAGTCACCGAGGTTAACATCTACATCACATACCCAGGGTCTACCTACAACAGTCACCGAGGTTAACATCTACATCACATATACAGGATCAACATCTACATCACATACCCAGGGTCTATCTACATTAGTCACCGAGGTTAACATCTACATCACATACACAGGATCAACATCTACATCACATACACATACCCAGGGTCTACTAGGGTTAACATCTACATCACATACCCAGGGTCTACCTACATCTGTCACCGAGGTTAACATCTACATCACATATTCAGGGTCAACATCTACATCATAATACCCAGGGTCTACCTACATCTGTCACCGAGGTTAACATCTACATGACATACCCAGGGTCTACCTACAGCAGTCACCGAGGTCAACATCTACATTACATACCCAGGATCTACCTACATCACATACCGAGGTCTAACATCTACATCAGTCACCCAGGTCAACATCTACATCAAATACCCAGGGTCAACATCTGCATCACATACCCAGGGTCTACCTACATCTGTCACCGAGGTTAACATCTACATCACATACCCAGGGTCTACCTACAATAGTCACCGAGGTTAACATCGACATCTCTTACCCAGAGTCAACATCTATATCACATACCCAGGGTCTACCTACATCTGTCATCGAGGTTAACATCTACATCACATACCCAGGGTCTACCTACAATAGTCACCGAGGTTAACATCTACATCACATACCCAGGGTCTACATCTATATCACATACCCAGGGTATTAGTCACCGAGGTCTAACATCTACATCACATACCAGGGTCTCTTACATCACATACATACCAGGGTCTACTTACATTAGTCACCGAGGTTAACATCTACATCACATACCCAGGGTCTACTTACATTAGTCACCGAGGTTAACATCTACATCACATACCCAGGGTCTACTTACATTAGTCACCGAGGTTAACATCTACATCACATACCCAGGGTCAATATCTACATCACATACCCATGGTCTACCTACACCAGTCACCGAGGTTAACATCGACATCACATACCCAGGGTCAACATCTACATCACATACCCAGGGTCTACTTACATTAGTCACCGAGATCAACATCTACATCAAATACTCAGGGTCAACATCTACATCACATACTCAGGGTCTACCTACATCACATGCCCAATGTCTACTTTCAACAGTCACCGAGATCGTCAGCTATATCACATACCCAGGGCCACGTACAACAGTGGTCAAGGTCAACATCTACACCAAATACACAAGGTCTACCCTCAACAATGGCCAAGGTCAACATCTACATCAAATACACAAGGTCTACCCTCAACAGTGGCCAAGGTCAACATCTACATCACAAACACAAGGTCTACCCTCAACAGTGGCCAAGGTCAACATCTACATCAAATACACAAGGTCTACCATCAACAGTGGCCAAGGTCAACTCTACATCACAAACACAGGGTCTATCATCAACAGTGGCCAAGGTCAACATCTACATCAAATACACAAGGTCCACCCACAACAGTGGCCAAGGTCAACATCTACATCAAATACACAAGGTCTACCATCAACAGTGGCCAAGGTCAACATCTACATCAAATACACAAGGTCTACCATCAACAGTGGCCAAGGTCAACATCTACATCAAATACACAGGGTGTACCCACAACAGTGGCCAAGGTCAACATCTACATCAAATACACAAGGTCTACCTTCACGGCGTTGAGTTCTGGTTCTTTATGTTACATATTTAAATGAGTTTCTTTTGTATAGTTTACTACGCCAATGTTTCAGTAGCGATATAATCTACATGTACATAACTCAGGTTGCTCAACCATTCAGTTTAGACGAATACCTCAAGCAGTATGGAAGGGAAAAGGTAAGCATATTGAATACTTTATACTGTTTACTTTATATTAGAGATATTTATATTTACTTGCCATGTTGAAAGTTAGGGACTTTTTCAGTTTGAAAATTCACTGGACAGAAAGACTTAAATGAGCTAGAAAATTAACCTTTTTTTTTTGCTGAAATCCAGTATGTTTTATTAGGTAAATTGCCTCAATAATATACGGACAGTCCGAGGTGACATGGTATATTTGTTCAAACTTGAGTGTCAGCAAACCGAAACTACTAATATTGAATTTGAACAGCTGATTATGTCGTATAAATTACGTAGTGAAATTCGTCAATATATGACAAATAATTTGAATTTTTCAAACGGGTTATCTAACACATCAGACAATAATGTACTTAAACGTGAATGGTTTTCTTTATACATTATTGTGTTGAATGATTTTCTAATGACTTTTCTTGTGAAACTCTAACCGTGTTACCTGCATATGACGTCAATGGTTTTTCATTTTTTTAGTTGAAGAAAAGGACACATTGAATTATTTATAATCAATGGTGTCTTATAACGTTCTCAAATATATGCAACTTATGATACTAATTTAGGCAGCAAACAAGAAAAAAGGTATTGCTGTATTTTTGCATCTTTTCTCTCCTGCCTGACACAGTTTTAACTACTTATCTTGGTGAAATTTTATTCAACAGAGAAAAATTAATTGGTTTTTAATGACGATAGCAATACCAAAAAAATCAATGTTACGCTAGATCAGCACCATGAGGTGACTAAGATTATATCTTGGTCTTGAATTATTGTCATGCGTGTGATTTTCCACATTAAGCCGAGACATTAGATCCCAATAAGAGAGGAACATGGAAAATCTCGTTTTAAAGCCACATTATATATAGCTTTCACTTAGAGACACAAATTGAAAAAAGGCATTCGATAACAAATATATAGATACAATGAGTTATCTGAGGAGTATTCGAGACAAATACATACATTGTTTCTTATGTAACTAAACTGAATTGTCCACAATGTAAACAAATTTCAGATACCGAAGCCGAGCCATGTTTATCGGACTGTGATGGGAGAGATAGGTTTTGGCTGAGCTAAGACATTTACATGTGTTTAGGTCACCGTCTATTTGATCTTCATACAATTGTTATACTGTCGTCAAATAGAAAACTACGACATTTTCAAAAAATAAATGGCATTGATATTGATTATGATTAATTTGTGATATCTAGGATGAAGAAAGCCATTGTCACACTTATGGCAATGATTTCCCTTGTGTGTATGGCGGAAGGATTTGAATGTGGGATAGATGCAGAGGTGTGTGAGACATCCTTGATTGTGGAATATCGCCTGACAATGTTGCATCCAACACAGAAAAAAGTTTATCCATATCAAGGAAAGCTTTACAGATATGACGTTAAAGATCCGGAAAATGCCACATCTATTTCACCCGAAGAGGTCATAACAGCAGATGGATGGGAAGAGGAACGTCTGGTAATTGTGGCAAACGGTAGTCTACCTGGTCCTGCCATTACTGTGTACGAAGGACAACGACTCGTGGTTCACGTCATCAATCAGTTATACACGGACACTCTGTCGATTCATTGGCATGGTCAGCCTCAAAAGGGTACCCCCTGGATGGACGGAGTAGCCTTTGTAACACAATGTCCCATTTTGCCGGGTCAAAAGTTTACGTATGACTTTGTTGCTCGACCAAAGGGTACATATTGGTACCACTCACATGTTGGCACACAGCGTACAAAAGGTCTCTATGGAGCATTAATTGTAAGGGATCGAACCGACAATATGGCGGAGCATAATCTACTGGTCCAAGGATGGAATCACCTTTGGTCAGCAGATATGGACCAATTAAAATATATAACGAATGGCATTTATGAGAATCGTAAGAAACGTAGGAATTCGTTTCAGTTAGATGGTGATATGTTTTCAACTGTCCTTCTGACGTCGGTTATCATAAACGGTAGGGGGCGTTACTACAGTAACTTTACCACAGAAGCTAACAACGCTGCTCCTTTAAGTGTATTCAGGGTTCAGCGGGGCCAGACGTACAGGTTTCGAGTGATAAATGCAGACATCCTCTATCCATTCCGTGTGTCAGTCGACAATCACAAAATCACTGTCGTGGCCACAGACGGATATGATGTACAGCCCGTTTCAGCCGAGTCGTTCATCATTCAGTCGGGTGAACGTTACGATTTTATATTAGCAGCAGACCAAGCTGTTGGAAACTATTGGATCCGAGCACAATCTCTAGAAATTGAACCAGATCGACTTCATAGGGCCCATGCCATATTGAGATACGATAACGCAAAAGAGATCGATCCAGTTAGTTCCACGTACAGTTGTTCAGTCAGTAGCAGATGTCTCGTCGTCAACTGTCCTTTCTTGTACTATCCGGAAGGAGACTTTACAGACTGTCTCTCAGTTGATAAACTCAAAGCTTTAGTTGATGATGATCCTGCACATGTACCATCAGATAGGCAAATTAAGGAATATTTCCTAAACTTTGGTTTTCCTGGGGAACATGGATTTGGTCAGGCGTCTGTAAATGGACGGAAACTAAAACTCCCCCCTGTTTCAGCGCTAACACAACCACTCGAGATAGAGTCTACTTGTGATCGGGCCGATTGTGGGGAGGAGAAGGAATGCGAGTGTACCTATTCCTTATCGCTTAACCATGATGATGTCGTACAAATGATACTTGTCAATATGGGCAAAGGTACAGGAGGGTTTCATCCAGTTCATCTTCACGGATATTCTTTTTATGTTCTGAAAATCGGATACGGTTTCTACAACAATATCACCGGACAGTACATTGGTCCAAAAACAGATGATATAAACTGCAGAGGTTCTGGTGACGAAAGAACCAGTTTTTGTAACGCAGCAACATGGCGGAATCAATCCTGGGGTGGAGATGACGTCCCCGGTCTTAATCTGCTCAATCCCCCACGAAAGGACACGCTCATTCTTCCTAATGGCGGTTATGCAGTTATCAGGATTAAAGCGGATAACCCAGGTCTCTGGATTCTTCACTGTCATATGCAAGTTCACAATGTCGATGGAATGGCTGTTCTTCTCAACAATTCTTTTGACCGGATACCAAAACCTTCTAAAAACTTTCCTATCTGCCACAACTTCCCAACTGCAAGGCCCGATGTGGTACCAACAACTACGCCCGCTTTGACATCGCAAGAGAATGGTGCCTGCGTTAAACAGTCAGAGAATGCTGGTAGGTATTCATATTAGTGACACAATGACTACAGGAAATTGGGAGAGGGATGGGGAGTGTCAAAAGTCCATTGAGGACTAAATTCCTTTTGTAAAAGGTGTTTTCAGATTATATGGAGGAGATAGATTTGTTATATACAGTTATTTCATTCAGATGATGAAAATCAAATGATGTTAGAATTAAATTTTTCTTAAAATGAATAAATACTATTTTACATCTCAAAATAAACTCTCTGTATTTTCGGTCAATTTAACTCATATCAAAGTGATAGGCATATTCACGTCGTTTTTAATATGTTCAATATCCTATTTGATCGATCAGTTCTACCTATTTTCAAATCACCTACGACACATGTCGTTTTTTGTTCAATCAATCACATCATCACTGAAATATTTTGCGTACAAATACTCTCTCGAAATATCTATAGTTTTAATGTCGTAGATTACTTTGAAATCATGTCTCTTCGTGGGGCTGAATTTTCGGGAGATTTTTCACCGCTATTGCGTGGAAATTTGATTTCATGGATAAATATACACTGCATTTCAATAAATGTCAATTCAACAATTATCAAACTCAACTAAATATAATCAGTTGACAGTAACAAGTTTAATCTCCATCAACCATACATTCTGTAGTAAGGAAGGAATTGAGTTTTTGTTTCTTCGACCTTTGCTTAGAAAGAATTTGAATATAAGCCCTGGTAATATAATGCTTCAGATATAGATAGCTCTTGGTATGAATCACCTATGTTAAGTGACAAATTTACAATGCCTTATTGTGTTTGCAGACGGCCAGTACATAGTGGTGACAGTTGGTGTTTTGGTAGGGGTTCTGTTTATCATATTGATTATGATGGCCTACATTCTTTATCTACGGAACCAAGTGAAGAAAGCGACACACTCTTCGGCGAGTTATGTCTTAGAAACACACTACCAGCATTAAGTAACCTTCGTTTCAGAAAAAGCGACGATCCTTTCCATCTAGCAATCGCAACTAATGTTCCAATAGTAGTGTCCTTTATGCCTGTACAGATATGATACTTTTGAATATGCTATCAAGAATATCTCATGCGAAACTTTCGAGTAGAACTGCGTATTTTAAAACATAATAAGTTAAATAAATTCAGGAAATTTACGATTTTACGAAATTGTCCTCATACGATTATTTAAAACACTGCCAATGGTGTATGAATTGCATTTTATCAAACACACAAAACTTGCATAAAATGTATTTTGGATTATCTAACGAAAATTTATTTAGTAAATATGGGAACTTATAACGAATTCAGGCAGTAAGTGACATCTTCCGAATTATGTTTTCTCAAACTACTTTGTAATAACAAGGGAATATTTAAAAGAAAATGACAATTCCATTCGACAAGAAATATTTATTCTAGTTCAATAGTTCAATTTTCAGTTATGGTAGTCATCTTTTCAATTTTTAGAATTATTGACCCTGATTAAAGAACTTTTCAAGAATCTCTCGGGTTATACTCATATTCTCAGGGACTGATGGGGACTATGAGATGAAAATTAAGTTGTAGTTTTTAATAGGTAGACACAAGCCTTATTTATATTTGTATGTGGTCTACCTATCTTACCAGAGTTATGCCCCTTGCATTAAGAAAAATTCGAGTAGGTTTTCAGAACGTTTTTAATATTTTGTAAGAACAAAACCAAGTGAGATCATGATGGCAAGAGGAGTCAGGAGTTAGACATGGTCAATTCTTTCCCTCCCTAACGTCCATACATTGTGATATTCAGCATCATGTCCAGAACACTTACTTTATTTACATTTTCTGTTTCATCGACTATACCAGCCATGTAAATCTACTTAACAATCTTTATTGCATTTTGAAAATTATTCTTCTTGTCTACGAAACATTATATATTCTATAGTTTTATTATATTTCTCTTTCATGCTAACACTCTATTTACATTGTATTTATTAATCCTAATTGTATACATAACATTCTATTTACACCATACATTGTTATCCTAATTGTATACATAGTAACACTCTATTTACACCAAACATTGTTATCCTAATTGTATACATAGTAACACTCTATTTACACCAAACATTGTTATCCTAATTGTGTACATAGTAACACTCTATTTACACCATACATTGTAATCCTAATTGTATACATAGTAACACTCTATTTACACCATACATTGTAATCCTAATTGTATACATAATATTCTATTTACACCATACATTGTTATCCTAATTGTGTACATAACATTCTATTTACACCATACATTGTAATCCTAATTGTATACACATTCTATTTACACCATACATTGTAATCCTAATTGTATACATAGTAACACTCTAATTACACCAAACATTGTAATCCTAATTGTATACATAGTAACACTCTATTTACACCATACATTGTAATCCTACTTGTATACATAACATTCTATTTACACCATACATTGTAATCCTAATTGTATACATAACATTCTATTTACACCATACATTGTAATCCTAATTGTATACATAACATTCTATTTACATCATACATTGTAATCCTAATTGTATACATAACACTCTATTTACACCATACATTGTAATCCTAATTGTATACATAGTAACATTCTATTTACATCATACATTGTAATCCTAATTGTATACATAACATTCTATTTACACCATACATTGTAATCCTAATTGTATACATAACATTCTATTTACACCATACATTGTAATCCTAATTGTATACATAACATTCTATTTACACCATACATTGTTATCCTAATTGTATACATAACATTCTATTTACACCATACATTGTAATCCTAATTGTATACATAGTAACACTCTATTTACACCATACATTGTAATCCTAATTGTATACATAGTAACACTCTGTTTACACCATACATTGTAATCCTAATTGTATACATAGTAACATTCTATTTACACCATACATTGTAATCCTAATTGTATATATAACAATTGTATACATCTATTTACACCATACATTGTAATCCTAATTGTATACATAGTAACATTCTATTTACACCATACATTGTAATCCTAATTGTATACATAGTAACACTCTATTTACACCATACATTGTAATCCTAATTGTATACATAACATTCTATTTACACCATACATTGTAATCCTAATTGTATACATAGTAACACTCTATTTACACCATACATTGTAATCCTAATTGTATACATAGTAACATTCTATTTACACCATACATTGTAATCCTAATTGTATACATAGTAACATTCTATTTACACCATACATTGTAATCCTAATTGTATATATAACATTCTATTTACACCATACATTGTAATCCTAATTGTATACATGACATTCTATTTACACCATACATTGTAATCCTAATTGTATACATAGTAACACTCTATTTACACCATACATTTTAATCCTAATTGTATACATAACATTCTATTTACACCATACATTGTAATCCTAATTGTATACATAGTAACACTCTATTTACACCATACATTGTAATCCTAATTGTATACATAGTAACACTCTATTTACACCATACATTGTAATCCTAATTGTATACATAGTAACACTCTATTTACACCATACATTGTAATCCTAATTGTATACATAGTAACACTCTGTTTACACCATACATTGTAATCCTAATTGTATAAATAGTAACACTCTATTTACACCATACATAGTAATCCTAATTGTATACATAACATTCTATTTACACCATACATTGTAATCCTAATTGTATATATAGTAACACTCTATTTACACCATACATTGTAATCCTAATTGTATACATAACATTCTATTTACATCATACATTGTAATCCTAATTGTATACATAGTAACACTCTATTTACACCATACATTGTAATCCTAATTGTGTACATAGTAACACTCTATTTACACCATATATTGTAATCCTAATTGTATACATAACATTCTATTTACACCATATATTGTAATCCTAATTGTATACATAGTAACATTCTATTTACACCATACATTGTAATCCTAATTGTATACATGACATTCTATTTACACCATATATTGTAATCCTAATTGTATACATAACATTCTATTTACACCATACATTGTAATCCTAATTGTATACATAACATTCTATTTACACCATACATTGTAATCCTAATTGTATACATAACATTCTATTTACACCATACATTGTAATCCTAATTGTATACATAACATTCTATTTACACCATACATTGTAATCCTAATTGTATACATAGTAACACTCTATTTACACCATACATTGTAATCCTAATTGTATACATAGTAACACTCTATTTACACCATACATTGTAATCCTAATTGTATACATAGTAACACTCTATTTACACCATACATTGTAATCCTAATTGTATACATAGTAACACTCTATTTACACCATACATTGTAATCCTAATTGTATACATAGTAACACTCTATTTACATCATACATAGTAATCCTAATTGTATACATTCATGCTCGCAAAATAGACACAATGATGAAGATCATTTTCCCGATAAAATACCGAATTCGATACAGTAGAGCTAAATAAACAATAAAACTACAACAGATATTTGTTTTGTACCTCTGTGGCTCTTTAGCGATCTACAGGAGAAAGTGTTGAAACCGAGGAGGCATCTGAGGTGTACAGCATTTTCGATTAGATTTGGAATCAAATAGAGTGGAGCTGTATAATGCTACGATTACACACCACAGCCGTAGTCCAGTCGAATACTTAGTAAGAACGAAACAAAAGTATGTTGTTGGAATCCTCTCCGACCTTGCTTAAACAAGGTTACTATTGATCTCATTTATCTTACGACAACACTATAACAATTAATTGTAGACGACATAATCTACCGAAGTATATATGTATATATATATATATATATCAACCGAACGAAATCGGGGCAATATATCTAATTGGACTTCCATTTAATATTTTGATCTTATATATAAAAGAGCCAAACAATGAATTAAACTGCATCATATAGCTGTCCCATCCTTCTACGACTAACTCTTAAACTTAAGAGGGGACTGAGGAAAATCCAAAGTGATCAAAGGAAGTGTCACAATCTAGACCTGGAGGTGCACTGACCCCATAATTCAATAAAATTCCTTAATCGTAATTTCAGAGTTTTGTTTTTTCTATATCAGATAATTTAGAAGAACGTCAAAAACGAGTATTCTGAACAGTGCCACTATTCGAATGAGTAAAAATATGGCATGCAGATTACAGCAATCCGCGGGGACAATCAACGGTGTCTACCACCTGCATTCGAATAGCACCTTTAAATATGAATTCATATTAGATACAGTAGCGCGAAATAACGAATTAAACGACATCATACAGCTTCTAGGACTCGTCAGTGATGCTAAGGTCATAAACCTTGGAGGTGACTGAGGAAATGAAACCACACATTTCAAAATCTTTTCTTGAAATACTGTAAAACGAAATTTAGCATGATGTCTATTTCTCTGAATTTGCAGGAAGTTTCAATAATTACATCATTATTTTCTTCTTCGGCTTCATGTAGCTGTTCTTACCAAATGGTTTATCTTTGCTATAATTAAGTGTCCAATTTAACGGCAGTTCTTTCACTCAATATACCATTTCAGCTCCCAAAGATTATGTACATCATTTATTCAATTTTGCTGTATTGAAGATAACGAAGAAAACAATAAAATATCGCCTTTTGATTGTTAAAGAGCTAATGAAATTATCCACAACTTGTGGTGTTAACAGGCCGCTGTGGATTGATGTTCTAGAGCTTGTTCTCATTATCACAATTTCCGTGCAAGATGTCGGCAAGTGACACACAACGCAGGGTTTGGAGAGATGCAGATTGATGAAGATAACGGAGTATTTTTAAGTCTTCATAATCATCACATTGGGAAACATGCTATTTCTTTATGTTGGAAATGTTTTGTG